AGCCTACTTTATAAGAAAAGGGTTTACTTACATTCAGGTTAATACATTTTTAAGTATACTTTCCTAACAATTAATGTTAATGACTTACTTTTTTTCTGTCTATTTTTCCAGTGTCCTCAGCACAGGACAGGATTGAACAGTCTTCAAGAGAAATGACTGAAAGTGAAGGAGCTCAAGTTATTTTAATGTGCAATTATACTACTGCTTCCACAACTAATTATCTCTTTTGGTACAAACAGCTACCAAACAGATCACCAACATTCATTCTGAGTCAATATAGCACTGAGCCTGATTTTAAGAGATTTTCTGCAACAATGAACTCTACATCAAGAACATTTCCATTGATGATCAAGAATCTGCATGTGTCTGACTCTGCTGTGTACTTCTGTGCTCTGAGGCCCACTGTGACTGAAACACACTCAACACTCATACAAAAACTCTCTTTCCTAAAATCTGTGTGCACAGAACTGAAGCATAAAGCTCCACAGAATTGGAATGACATTTGTACCCAGTTTAAATCCATTTCACAATTCCACAAATTGGAACTGTAGTGCTGTAAACTACTCGTATATATTTTTAAGAATTTTTAATTTAGTGCTCATCACTATAAATTTAAATTTTACATAAGGTCTATACCATAAAATGCTATTCATAATCTTCTGTGAACCTCCATAAGATCTCGCATTTAGTTAGTATATGTGTAGATATGAGTGGAGTTTTTGTTGGTACCAGACTGAAAGAGGAGGAGTTTAAAGATCTTTATAGCATAGATCTGAGATGATCTTGTTACATTTTCTGTCACAAAGCTAAGTCCTGCTGTAGTGGCACACACATGTACAATGATACTTCATTCAGTCATTCTGCTCTCTGCCTTGGCAAGTAAGTGCATTTGTGTGTGATTTGCATGCTTTTGCATTTCTAATTTAAGAATATACATATAATATTTTGTCAAATGATTTTCACATCTTACATGCATAATGAACTTTTTCACTGAAAAGATGAACTTATTACGTCCATAAAAAAATAATGTAAATTTTTTCTGCTACTACAATTTAAAATCTAATCACAATGATAATGCAATATTAATATTTAATATAATTAACTAGTATCACTTGCTGTATGTATTGTACAATTTCAAATCACTGTTATAAATCAATTTCAGCACTATTTGAAAATTAAATGTTTTTTTCTCTCTCTCTCTCTCTTTTCCAGGTGTGAGTTTTGGAGATGAAATCACACCAGAAAGCACTGAGGAATCTGCTGCAGTGGGATCAACTGTTACTTTACCCTGCAGTTATTCCTCTGCACAATCACTTCAATGGTACCGTCAGTATCCCGGATCAGCTCCTCAATTTCTTGTGCTTATAATGGAGAGTGTGAAAGAGACTAAGACATCTGATGTAGATCCCAGGTTCTCTACTAAACTCAAAAAAGAAAAACAAGCTACAAAGGAAATTAAACATGTGGATCTGATCATCTTCTCTGCTGCTGTATCAGACTCTGCTCTGTACTACTGTGCTCTGACGCCCACAGTGACAGGAAACACAAGAACACTGAACAAAAACCTGATTCACAGTACTGCATCTACATGACACATATCCAACCTCCATATCTGCTATACTGTAGGTGACACCCCTCTATTCAGCAAACAGTATTATAGATTGTCATTCACAAGGTGATACACAAAGATTCGGTTAAAAGATGCTTCTCCAGATATTCATAATGTTTTATAAAGCAACCATGTTCAAAAAGGTGATAAAATATTGGTTTATTTTTTTTGTGGCCACGAAGTAATTACTTCAAAAAAGTACCTATAGAGAGTATGCAATTTCAGATGCAGCCATGATGTTATTTTGTAAACCCTGAACAATTCTTTATAACGGTAGGATTGGTATAAATAGTGTTTTTGAACAAATGCTTGATGAGTGTACCATGTTGTCATTGTCACGTGTCTTATCTGCATCAGTTGCTTTCTGTCACTGCCATTCTTAAATCCTCTACCATGGCTTCATGGGATATTAAAGTGTCCATCTTATGTACACTTCAGAATCACGCCAGAAGTAGTAGGGCATCAGGGTACATTTTGTCTACTCTTTTGTGAGTACTGTGAATTTGGACATAATTTATTTCTCACATACTGTCTTTTGCCTACTCTAAAGTTGGGAAGTATGTGATTTCAGATGCAGCCAATATTTAGCCATTTCCAACTTCGTCCACAGGGGGTCAGCACTGCTCTCTTCATTTATAGGTGTAACATGTGACATACAAACCTTTAACGAAGAGCTCTGTGTGATAATCACAGAGTTTTTGAGAGCAGAGTTGAGTGAATTTTCTGTTCTTTTACCTCATAGATCAACTATGTTTAGATGGGCTTTGATTTCTCTGTGTTTCACAGCACATTATTATGGTAAGCACATTTTTTTCTATTTCTGTATACTTTAAAAGAATAGGCTTTACTTACATCCAGGTTACTAAATGTTTAAGTTTAATGCTACTAATTTATGTAAATGACTTAAATTGTTTTTCCCGCCAGTGTCCTCAGGACAAGACAATGTTGAACAGTCTTCAAGAGAAATGCCTGCAAATGAAGGAGCTCAAGTTATTTTAATGTGTACTTATACTACTTCTGGAACTCCATATCTCTTCTGGTACAAACAGCTACCAAACAGATCACCAACATTCATTCTGAGTCAATATAGCACTGAGCCTGATTTTAAGAGATTTTCTGCAACAATGAACTCTACATCAAGAACATTTCCATTGATGATCAAGAATCTGCATGTGTCTGACTCTGCTGTGTACTACTGTGCTCTGAGGCCCACAGTGACTGAAACACACTCAACACTCATACAAAAACAGAGGAAGTGCTCAGTTATATGACAAGGTACAAATCCACATGCTATTTAATTCTGTCCCACAACAATAATATGCATATAATAAAAAAAAATCTAATTATCTAAATCTAAAGCACTGATACTTCAAGTCTGTAGAGAGAATAAGAAACACACACAATGATGCTCCATTCTGTCATTCTAATTTCTGCCTTTGCATGTAAGTATTGAAATGCTTTGTGTCTTGCATCCCAGTACTCTTGAGCAGCCAGACCTGCTAATTTCTTCTCAAAATTAAATATAAAGTGTTCTTCGTGCAGTATATTGTGTTCTATACTGATACGGCTAAATTGAATATAGATTCAATTTAAACACCTGTTCTTTAAGATTTGATCTACTTTTACAGATGCAACGCATGGAAATGAAATCAAACCAACCAAAACACTGGAGTTTGCTGACGAGGGTTCAAGTGTTAAATTATCCTGCAGTTATTCATCTGCATATAATCATTACTACAAAAACCTGATACACACTATTGCATCTACATGACACATATCCAACCTCCATATCTGCTATACTGTAGGTGACACCCCTCTATTCAGTAAAAAACCGCATTATAGATTGTCATTCACGACATAAAAATATATAACAGAAAGGGTGACACAAAGACTCTGTTAAAAGATGTTATTCCAGATATTCATAACATTTTATAAGGCAATCATTTTCAAAGAGGTAATAAAATCAACTTTAGATGCATTTGCTTTTTCCCCGGTGAGAAAAGAGGGGTTTATATCTGAGGGTATTTTGCTGAACCTTATAGACTGTGTCATAAAATCATTTAAACTCAGATTGTACGCATGCAGTACATACTCAGTTATTCTAAAAATGAATGAAAAGCTTTATAACATACTCAAGTAAAACATAAGTATAGTGGTTATTAAGCATTTGTTCAAAACCACTATTTATACCAATCATACTTTTATAAAGAATTGTTCAGGGTTTGCAGAATATCATCATGTTTAGCTATTACAAACTTCATCCACAAGGGGTCAGAATTGCTCTCTTCATGTATGAGTATATCATGTGACATGATACTAACATTTAAAGAAGAGCTTTGTGACATAAACACAGAGCTTTTGAAAGCCGAGTGAATTGTCTGTTCTTTTACCTCATAGATCAACTATGTTTAAATGGACTTTGATTTCTCTATGCTTCATAGCACATTATGATGGTAAGCACATTTTTTGTTTCTGCATACTTAAACAGAAAAAAAGTTTACTTAAATATAGGTTACTAAATATTTACACTTAGTTTCCTAATAATGTTAATGATTTACTTTTTCTGTCTATTTTTCCAGTGTCTTCGGGACAGGACAGGGTTGAACAGTCCTTAAAAGAATTGACTGCGAGTGAAAGAGATGAAGTTATTGTAATGTGTAATTATTTTACCACTGTTACAAACATAAACCTTTTCTGGTACAAACAGCTACCAAACAGATCACCAACATTAATTCTGGGTCAATACACCACTGAACCTGATTTTAAGAAGAGATTTTCTGCAACATTGAACTCTACATCAAGAACATTTCCATTGATGATCAAAAACCAACATGTGTCTGACTCTGCTGTGTACTACTGTGCTCTGAAGCCCACAGTGACGGAAACACACTCAACACTCACACAAAAACAGAGGAAGTGCTCAGTTATATGACTAGGTGCAAATCCACATGATGCACATGCACATTCATCCCAACTTGTTACATTTTCTAGACTGAATAAAAAAACAATATGAGAATAAGATTCCCAAACTGCTAACTCAGACACTGAATGTATTCCATCAGACTTTCATTCTCATTAATTTTATTAATACATTAAAACAAACTTACTAATTAATTAATTAGGAAACTACGAAATTAAACTTCATTTTCATGTTGTAATTCTGTTATCATAAGCTGGCAATATACACCACATATTCATATTATCAAGCCTCATTACAGGATCATTAGCTCCTCCTTTTTATTTAATAAATAACATGCCATTTACAGATCTGCTTCTCCACCTTTTTCATTCATTTACTAAAATGAGCATCATCTCTACAGAGACCAGGAAGTTCCAGATTCGTATGACTCAGTTCCTGCAAAACTCATCACAATCATCACAACCCAGAGAACAGAAGAGCATCAACAGAACTGATCTGACTTAGAAAGCATGGACAGACACTTGGTGCTGATATTAATCATGATTTCGGGTAAAATACTCTTTGATGCCAATGCTAAGGAAAATAGATAATTATGTGTAATGTGACTGAATTTAACTCACATGATTTTTCACAATGTAAGCAAATGTTTATTTTAATACTTGCAGGTGGAATGGCTGCAGACCAGATTGGGCCAAACAAGGGTGCAAATGTCATCAGTACAGAAGGAGAGTCTGTGACACTGAGTTGCTCATATGATACAAGCAGCAGATATGTTGCACTTTACTGGTACAGACAGTATCTTAATAGAGAACCTCAGTATTTAATGTGGAAAGATGCTCGGGAATGGAGTGATACTGGGAGCCCAGCTGAACCTCGCTTTCAGTCGACTACATCAGAAACATCCACTGAACTCACTATTACTGGTGTAACTCTGTCAGATTCAGCTCTCTATTATTGTGCTCTAAGAGTTGGAGCCCAGTGATACAAAGTGTGTGTGAAGCTGTACAAAAACTCTAATTCATTTTTCACTTTGATCTCAAGCCATATCAAACCCACAATCTATAATTCACACAATATAATTATACTTGTGGAAACACCTGTGTGAGAAGTTGGATAATATTTTTTTTAGAATATGTAATGTTAAAAAAAGAGGTAGACGTGAAACAATGCACAACAGCAGACACAAATTTGTAAGCATTTTCATACTTACAGAAAACATAATAAATTTAGGTAATTTCAGATAATATCATCATTGTATTATATTTTTACTATGTATTCATTGTTTTTTTATTGTGTTACAATTATCTGTTTAAGTATTTATCACAACCAGCATGATGGATGTCTTATTACCCCAAATCCTGTGGATGTGCTGTAATTTTAGTGTTTATTCATTAACTCAGTTCAGTCAATTTATTTGGCTCAATTTAATTCTAATTAACGTACAGTAAATATTTTGTAAAAACTGAACTAAAAATGATTGACAATGACAAAATTTTAATTTTTTGGTGGACACAATCATAATGATTTTAGAGAATATGATCGAAGTAATAGCCTAATTATAGGATATTTCTAAAAGAAACAAATAATTAAATAATGGTAGAATTGTCCATTTTTGATAAATTCTAGATTTGAAAGGGTCTTTAAAAAATAAAGTCAATTATTTAAAGCATTGTTAACTTTTTGAGGGGCTGCAGAAATCTGATGAAGCAAATCATCAAAGTAGATAAAGACTCATATGCACAGCAGCATTTCATAAAGAGCAGGAAGATCTTTAGTGTTAAAGACTGAAAAGCAGGCAATCTCAGTGTCCTGGGAGCAAGACAGAGTTGAACAGCCTTCTGGAGAAAAGACTGCAAATAAAGGAGATCTAGCTAATCTACTGTGCAATTATTTTACCACAGCTACAAATGAAGATTTTTATTTCTTCTGTGTAAGGGAAACAGGTCAATTTAGCTCAAAGGTAATCATTTAAGATTTTAAAGGGAACTAATCTTAGATTGTCTGATTCGGTCTGATACCCTACATCTGGTACAAACAACTACCAAGTAGAGCACCAGCATTTATGCCGAGTGTACAGTATTTACTTTTTGTGAAGGATCTACTGAGCCTGATTTTAAGGAGAGATATTTTTTATCTCCACATGAAGAACAGTTCCACTGACAATACAGAATGTGCGTATGTCAGACTTTGCTGTGTACTACTGTGCTCTAAAACACTGTGACTAAAACACATTCATACAAAAACATGAAATAAATCATAACTGTAAAAATACTGCCCCTGTATCAGTATCCATCCTCTGCAGTCATAATTACAGAAAGATACATCATACAGCAACTTTCAAACTCAATGTACTTGGCAGGAACTTCCAAACTCAAATCACATGAGCCTAAAACCATCACAACAAAGTCATTTATGTTTGTATTTTTCTTCAAAATCATCTGCTAAATAAATAAATATAAGTATAATTTCTTGCAGTTGCGAAAGCTTTCCTCTAAGCAAAAACATGAGAAGCAGTAGATGATATCGTCACACAGAAAGCAGGAAGTTCCAGTGTGTTTGAGTGTGAAACTGCAGAGACTCACAGTAACACAGATCTACAGCTCACAGCACAGACAACATTAATACACAACTGATCTGAGCTAGTCAACATGGAAAAACACCTGCTGATGATTTTAATTCTGACTTCAGGTACAATATGACTCTTTTAATAATTACAGGTGTATACAGACACATCCAATGGGATAGTTTTGTATTACTTGACTCCTATTTTGTTTGCTTGTTTTAGGTGTGATGACTGCAGACCAGATTGGACCCAATCAAGAAACTAGTGTCATAAAAAAGGAAGATGAGACTGTGACCCTCAGTTCCTCTTCAGGAACTCGAGCTGCGTCGAGAAACGCTAGGGGAACGCCGTTCAGCGTGACGGGCTCTGAATTTCGTGTGTAATCAGACCAATAGATGGGCGAGACGTCACGGCGGGTGACGTAATGACCAGGAGGCTATAAAAGCACGTGCGGTGAGACCAGCGTCAGCTTTTGTCATTCAGCAAGCGCTCTGTGTGTGTGTCGTTCTGATATCTGTCTGTGAGTCATATTTGGTGTTGTCTGTCCCGTAGGGCTAGAAATAAGATACAAGTATGTCTAAAGCACATGACAAGTCACGTCATTTGACTATGGGCGAAGGCAGCCAGCGTTTCAAACCGTGTGTTCCTCCCTGTCCGCGTTTCATTTCGGGGGCGGATACACACAGTTTGTGCGTTGTCTGCCTGGGAGCGGAGCATGCTGAGTCAGCTCTTGAGAGAGCTGACTGCCCGCATTGCGAGCGTCTCCCGATGCATGTTCTCCGCTCTCGCAAGGCACTCTTTGCGGAGGGTGCCTTCACAAGTGTTCCCCGCGGTGCGGGTCCTGCTTCCGCCGAGGCGGAGCGGCGATTACGCTCGTGGGGTTCACAGCTGGAACTGGCGGAGGGAATGGAGACGGGCGAGTCCCTATCTTCTTCCTCACCCGCCAGATCCAGCGCTCGCTCACCGGGTTCGCCTTCATTTTAATGAAGAGCTTCACTATTTAATATATAAGTATTCAGGAGGTGGAGGTGGGAGCCCCTCTGATCCTCGCTTTCAGTCACACAATCATCCACTGAACTCACTATTACTGGTGTAACTCTGTCAGATTCAGCTCTCTATTATTGTGCTCTAAGAGTTGGAGCCCAGTGATACAAAGTCTATATGAAGTACAAAAAAAAGTTTTTTGTACTTTTTTGAGGTTTTTGCCATACAAAAACTCAAATTAATTTTTCCCTTCGATGTCAAGCATTATCAGACCCACAATCTATCATTATATTGTGGAAACACCTGTGTGTGGTTACTGAAAAGGTAATGAAAATGAAACACAATACTTCCTGAATCACAGTTGAATATCATAAAATAAATAAATAAATAAAACCAGGGTTACATAGAACCCTGATATAGAACATACAAAAACAGGGTTATGTCTGAATCTTTGATATCATATGTATTTATGTTTATACATTTAAATGCTATATTAATTATACTTTTTCTTATATTAAAGTAGTTTTATTGAATTGTATTATGGTTTATTTGCAAGGGACGCATTTGCAGAGGCAATAACACCACTGAAAAACACAGAAACATTTGTGGGGGAAAAACATGTAAGGTCCACGCAACTTGGCCCAAGGAAGGTATCCAGTGGTGGCTAAAGGTTTCTTGCGTGTTCGGTCTTTTCAGTGCGCAAAGTTATTTAATTTAAGTTCAACTCTAATCTGACTCCATTTTATTATCTAATCTGACTCCATTTTATTATGACCTCGAATTTAGGTTGAAAGGCAAATTGGTTGTTTGTCTGTCTTTCTAATTATTATTATTCTGACATTTGATTATTCTATTTAACTCTTTACTTTATATTTACTCCTTCGGTCAGGGTGCCTCACGTTGGCCGTTTTACGTGGGCCCCACAATCACAAACTCGCCAGTCTGAACATTAGCCAGAGGTTATGACTAATACTATTTAATAGGTCGCCCATGTTACCATTCTTTAAATAGTAGTTCTGTTTAGCCCCCTACAGTTATCCATGTACAACTTAGTTAAAGCTCAAACAATAATCAGCAGTTATGCTAGTACTATTTGTCTAGCCCACGATAGTTATATAACTACGTACAACTTAACTAAAGCTGAGACAATAATCAGTGGTTATGCTAGTACTATGAAATATGTTAATTTTTCAAAAGTATTTTTTATCTAGCCCCTGATAGTTAAAATAACTACGTACAACTTGAATAAAACTCAAACAAGAATCAGCGGTTATGCTAGTACTATTTGTCTAGCCCCCGATAGTTAATATAATTACATACAACTTAATTAAAGTTGAGACAATAACCAGTGGTTATGACCAGTACTATGACTAGCCACCCATAGTTAACGCAACTGAGTACAACTTAACTAAAGTCAAGCAGTTAGTCAGAAATCTATAATCTCACCTGATGTGCGCCATGCTCCATCTAACCTGAGATCTAGTATGCACTTAACCCTGGACGCAGATTTGCGGAAACATACGGCTTCACTTAATCACAGAGTAAGTCAGAATAAATCAAATGTAAGAATTTATTATCAGTCAGGTAAATATATATTATGCCAATTACATAGCAATTCAAAGATATCAAATCAATACAAGACATCAAATTCTCAAAGACAAATCTAAGAGTAAGATACATACCTGACTTTTAGAAAAATACATAGTATGAAGTGTGTGGACACACTTCATACTACAGTCTTTCTGGCTACAGAATCGCCCCGACCCTTTTGCTGCAATCCTTTAAATACATTAGGATCTGTATTATCTTTTAGTCTACTTTTGTAAGATTGAGAGACCATTGTACCACTCGCCCTGAGACTATTCAAATGATACCAAACATGACTGTAAATATTATTTGCATTCATGTAGAACATTATACTATTGACCATTCTGAGTGAACCAAGTGGAGGGAGGATGGGTAAGGGGAAGGAAGGGGATGAGAAGGAAATGATGCATATGTGAGAGAGCCATTTCCTGCACGAAGATGCCCATGTATGTTTGTATTGTCTGTTTCTGATTCTGTTATGAGTTTCTTTCATCCTTACAAACATCTACCTCATCTGTAAATAAATATGATTAACGTGTGCTGGCATTGTCAGTATCCGGGATCCAGAGCTCCTGTTTTTTATTTAACCACAAGGAGGGTCAATGCCACCTCTTCACCTCTTTTTTTTACCTATTAATAATAGCCAAATATTGTGAGCCTGGAGATCTTTCCTGCTAAAATAACAGATTCTGTGATTCTGTGCCATTAAGCAAAAATGCATCATTCACATCTTTGAATAAATGTACATCGGACTTGTGTAAAACTAAATTTTCTATTCCCTGCATTACCTATATGTTAATTCTGATACACAGTATGATAATGGATGATTTAACCATATTCCTGTCATT